AAAGTTTTGGTGGTTGTTTGCACAGAGTTATCAATATGCCTCTCAGCTGGTCCATGTAGGTTGGTGGCCAACCCATCCAGTTTACACTTGTATAAAACTATTGTTTTGGACTTTAATTTTCTCCCTAATGGAATATAGCCTGTAGTCACTACAATGGATTTGGCACAAATTGTGTATCTGCTAACGAGTCCCCAAGTGAACTAACAGAGGAACTGAACTGCCTGTTTTAAGGAATCATGACCCATAGTCTCAGATCTGCGGCCACTGACAGTGAAGAGTAGGAAAACATGAATCACAGCTGCCTTTATTTTACCTCCTTTGAATAAAAAGAGACCTTCACTTTCCAGTTCCATTGGGTTTTTTTTCTTCCTTCCTTTGTAGCCTTCATAGTTTCTTCATTCCTTTGTAACTGAGTTGACCTGTGTGTGATCAAGAGTGGGATTTATCAGCAGCAGTCCAAGAATGCTTTTCTTATTGTCCAGAATATGTTCATGTGCCGGCTCTCATTACGGGATATGCATGACCAAGATTGTTGCAGGACAAATGCAGTCATTTTTATAACGTGTCTAAGGGACATATTTTGTCTGCCTTTGCAGAATACGTATGGCAACGGAGCCCTGGTAGTGATAGTTTTGTTTGGCTTCTCAGAATCAGTGCTGGTTGTTTGAAATCTTTTTAAAAGGTAGGGATATTTTAGTCTGCATGTACAATACAGAGCACCTTACCATGTCAGACTTGCTTTATTTCAGACTGCCCTTTCAGAGTTCACTGTCCTGTGAATATTTCTACTCAATCCTCTATTCCATCAGACTTATTTTCTGCTCCCTAAAAAGAATAAAAACCTGTTCTTAATGGCAAGTTGTTGTAAGGCTTCAGACCAAATGCTGATTGATTACAAACATAATTGCAGTGTGTGAACTAACTTGTGAAGTCCTGCTATTGCTGATCTCAGTACTGCAAAACAAATTTAGCTGTCATTTAAAGTATCACTTTAACCTTCACCAAGACAACTTTCCATTCATAGAGAGAAAAGAACTGCAATGCAGTTGTGAAACGCAGTTAATAACAGATCTCTTCTGCAACCTGTCATCTGTGGTTGTTAACTTCTGAGTTAGGAGAAATGATAAACTGAGCTTCTAGTTTTATTGTGCAAGCAAAAGGAAGGAAACACTTAAGTACCATCAGACTGAGCAATAAAGAAGGATTGTTCTGTATTAGAAATTGTACTGTAGATAAACCATTCATGAGAATGTATAAAATGTTTGTCTTGTGACCTTGTGCTTTTGAAGTCAGACAAAACCATGTAATCAACTTGATGCACATGCACAGAAAGAGGGTACACAATGAACATTTAAACACAAAACTAATCAAACAGGAGCAGATTCCTCATGGTGCTTGTTTATTATATATATTTAATCCTGCTTGACACTTTACCCAAGGGAAGACTGTCCCTTTTATCAGTTGAATGTTAGCAGCGTTATTTCATAGAGTGTGGTGACTGGTTAGAGAAATTCATGTAACTCAGCCACTCACAGTTTCAAACAAAAATTTTTATGTGCAAAGGACAGCAACCTTCTTGTATGTTAAACCACCAGTACGCTTTGTACATCTGTGATAACGCCTGTTTTATATTCAAATGAACAAATAAAAGCTTTTATTTTTGTTGCTCTGAAAATATCAGTTTCTTAATTAGTCATCTAAATGAAGCTTTCTGGAGCTGCCTGGACTCCACAGATGAACACGGATAGCTATATTGTAATTTTATTTTGTTTACCTCTTGTTGCATAATTTATTAGTACAGATCATATACTTTTACCAATGTTTAAATACTGGTGTGGGCATTTATTGCTAACAGACTTTCGTATGGCAACAAATGTTTTTTGTGAAATGTTTTTTTTTTAATTCTTTTTAATATATTTAAATATACTGTTCACATTTTTGCTGAAAGTGTAAAGATTATTGTAAGCTTGGTAACATTTTGTGAGAAGCAATAACAAGCATTAATACTGTAAAACTCCTCAAATCTGTCACTTATCACTTCTGTTGCAAGGGATATTTCAAGTAAGTTACTAAATTTATTCACCCAAGTATTAAATCTTCTCTCGAGTTTTGGGGCACAGTGTTAGACTATAGTACTTGGGTAGCCGGTATATGTGAAACGCATATGGACAGCATTTGCTTTAAACAGTTCGTAGGTTTTAGATATCTCAGTGTCGTCCTGAAAATGATGCAGAACCTGTTTCAGGTGGTTCTGAAGAGCCAATAAATCACCTGCTAGTTCTCATGGATGCAGCTGTTGGTTATTGTCAGCAACTTCCAGCATCCTTTGCACAGCCCTAATCTTTAACCTCATTCTTCAGATGTGACTTCAAAGCAGTGCAACCTTTTCAGATGCAAGGCACCCTTTGTTAGACCCCTCCTTAAACTCAAGGCACCCCTTAGAAAATGCCAACTCGTAGTTTTTGTTTGGTCTTTTTTTACTACAGAAAACTAACAGAGCACTTCTTTTGTTGCAAAGGACACAGACAGACCACAACAGGGCAGACTGGTTTTAACACTGTGAACTTCTGTATGAAATCTCTGGGTTGATCTTGTGACTCACATTTGCATACATTGCACACAGCGCTAACATAGTGCGGCACCCTGGTTGGCTGCAGTGCTTTGGTTGAGAACCACCGCCTTAACAGAAGAAGCATGTTGGTCTGTATTGTGATGGGTGGCCTGGGCAGGTTATGCTCAGTTTCCAAGTGTCAAGTTTCATAAAGAAGAAATCCATCTCAGCAGAGGAGCCAAGGACTGCAGACACGAGCACGGCCAGTTAAGCAGCCTTCCCTCTTTGGGAGAAGTCCCTCTGGCTGTACAAGGATGCAGGAGTGATCCTGGTCCTCCTGTGGTGTGTGCATTGGAGAACATTTGCCCAAAAGCCCAATGTTTCCAGGGTGAGGGGGGTGGTGACTCAGAATAGCATCAGCAAAATAACTAGGGGGAGGGATTTAAAACATCAAACAAAAATGAAGTACAACTTTGGAAAGTGGCTTAAATTTAAAAGAAGACTGGTAAACAGTTAAATAGGTTAATAGCATAATTTCATTTTGGTTGAAACAAAGCATTTCAGTCAGACATGAAACAAATTCTCTTCCGGTTCTTTTCCTTTAGCCTGGAAACGCCACCAAAAGCTTCCACTACCCAGCCAAGCTCTAGTGTTCACTCCGTCCTTCTCCAATAAAACGAGCACACTTCCTTCTCCGAGGCTTTTTCATTGCCTCCCTTCTCAGGAGCATTACATTAACACTGCTGGCAAACACTTCTCACAACAGCAGCCTTGTGTCGTATAGTGAATTAGTAACATCAAGATCTCGAGGGCCAGCACCTCAGCCTCTTTCAACCTGCTCTTATCCATTAGTTTCCACGCAGTTTTTGTAGTGCACATTCCAGTTCTGTAATCTGCATTTAATTGCAGATTAACCACACCTCCCTGCAGTTTACTGCAAAGCCCGGTGCTAGCCAAATCAGTAACGGAAGCAACTGCTGCATTTTGCCACAAGTGATGCTGATGGGGCTTCTCAAAAGCCAAAGTTCACCTGTATTCAGCATGCTGCACACTCAAAAATGAAGTCCGTGCCCCAGGGAACTTACAATAAAGGACAGAAAACAAAGCTGCTGTGAAGTCTAATCCATCTATTACCAGACAATGGTCTAATCCCAAAGGCATGACATTGATTTTACTTAATTTCATGCTTTGGTGGATTGTCGGTGATAGGCTTCATGCATGGAAGTGCCCTGTGGAGGGATATAAATGAGGACGGGGCAGCAGAGGGAAGCACTGTGAAAAGGAACAGTATGAAGAAGAAGCTCAAGGATGGCTGGAAGAAGTAGTATGAGAGGAGAGAGGTGGACACAGTGTTTTCAATCTTGAGTATGACTTGTAAACATTCATATTGACGTTGAGGGGAA